ATGCCTTGCAAAAGACGGTCTACAGCTTAACACCAAGAAATGTACCTTTGCTATCAAGACAATCAAGGTTCTCGGCCACCTCGTCAGCAAAGAAAAAATTCGGCCGTACACCGTGAAGCTTGCCGCTGTCCTCGATTTTCAGTAGGGTTGAGAGCTGGGCTAGTTGGTGAGACATCATTTAACCATATGGTGTAGTAGCGCAAATTCGACGGGGACGAAGAGGACAAGAAAACACGACACTTGCTACTCGAGTGTCGTGTTTTCTTGTCCTCTTCGTCCCCGTCGAATCTGCGCTACTACACCATATGGTTAAATGATCCTCAATTTTCCTCGTCTACTACGTGGAAAGGAACTATGCAGCTTCCTTGGGTTATCTTCTTACTTCCGGCGCTTCATACGTGGGTTCGCGGAACTTGCGGCAACGCCCCATCAACTCCTCGCAGGGAATGTCCCCTTCATTTGGTCCGAAGACTGCGAAAGTGCTTTCACAGCATTGAAGCAAGCCCTCACGTCGAATCCGGCGCTGTGCCACTTCGATTGCACCGCACCCACCATTCCTCACACCGATGCAAGTAGTCATGGTCTAGGTGCGGTACTCTTGCAGCGTGACAAAAAGTCACGCGAACGCGTCATTGCTTACGCAAGTCGCGCTCTTACCGCTCCAGAAAAGAACTACACTATCACCGAGCAGAAGTTCCTTGCTGTTGTTTGGGAAGTACAAAGAATCCGACCATATTTTCACGGCCGGCATTTTACCATCGTTACCGACCATAACGCCCTATGTTGGCTTTCATCGCTGAAAAACATATCGGGTCACTTCGGTGGCTGGACGCTTCGCTTGCGGGAGGATGATTTTGATGTCGCCTACAGACTTGAGAAGAAGCATCAAGATGTTGATGCTATATCGCGCTGTCTTTTGCCCAGCGGAAGCCACTCACCATCGATACTCCAAAACGACAGCACCTCTCCAATCGCAGCGTTAAATTCATCACCTGCCATCCTATCCGTCCTTTTTTCAAAACGATGTGTTGACCCATACTGCCGCACCATTGTTGACCGCTTGACCGGCTTTACTACACCTCCAAACACCACACTCCGTCAACAACTTAAACAATTTAGGCTTGTCGATGGTGCTTTATACCGCTACATTTACCACATCGATGGGAACAAGTGGGTACCCATCATTCGACGTTCTCTGAAGCGTAAAGTTCTGGAGGCCTTTAGTGATGATCCAACCGCTGCTCATCTAGGCTATCACAATACTTACGACAAAATACCAATTCGTTGTTTTTGGCCTGGCCTCTCTTCACCCGTCGCTAAGTACGTTGCCTCATGTGTTCGTTGCGAACGGCGAAAACGACCAACAACTGCTCCGGCTGGCTTAATGCAACCTATTCCACAACCCGCCTCACCCTTTGAAGTCGTTGGAATCAACTTGTCTAGCCCTTTTCTTATATCATCTAATGGGAATCGCTGGATTGGCACGGCCGTCGACCACCTTACCCAATACGCAGAAAGTGCTTCTATACCATCTGGGTTGCCGATATCCTTCTTCGCCACGTCTGTTTGCGTCATGAAGCTCAACGCATTCTCCTGAGTGATCGTGACAAAGTCTTTCTCTCTACGACCTTCAAATAATGCGTTCGCTGCACTTTTCTTTCTTGTTTTTTACATTACATTGATTATAATAACTTCCACTATACCCTATACATTTCTTGTTTCTTGGCAATAGTGCCTGTTAGATCTCATATATATATATATATATATATATATATATATATATATATATATATATAATATATATATAGGAACTGAGGCAGTCAGAACTGTTATTTGAGACCAGGTAGGAGCGTAGGCCTATCCAGCGAAATCAGTGACAACGTCCGCGCCGAGCATCTCATGCTTAGCACTGACAATGTGTTTGCCGAGCTTTGCATGACCCAATACTTCATTATATATTTCCCCCTCGCTGAAGACGGAGCCAAGTAAGTGTTCTAAGGTGTCGTGTGGACAAGTGACTCGTGATACGGTTTCAGACGATCCACATGTACGATTACGCGGCCTCGGCGACGCAGGTACACAGTGGCCGTGAGGGGTTCGATGAGGTAGTTGATGAGGTCTATGGTACCTGCTGACGAACTTTGTAGAGGTACAAGGAGCAGCACTGGGAGGCACCCACAGCCAAACGAGAGATTTGGGCGAAAACTAATAGTTGGACCGTCCATCGTCGTGACAAAATTTCTTTAGCCCTTGTTCTTTTGTTGTAAGGGTGCGAGCTGATCGCCGACATTCTTCCGCATACCGAGCTGCTTCGGAAACTGGGCCCGGATTCACAAAACTCACTTACGAAAACATTTTTGCGCAAGAGAAATTTTGTTGCATAAGTCGATTCCCGAAATGAAAAAAACGTCGTAAGAGGCCATCGTTCTCACATCGGCCGCTGCAAATAAAGAGCGCTGTGACTACCCGGGAACATGCCAGCGATGGTGATGCAGTTGCTATATTTGCTTACGTCACCGAAAAGTGCTCGTAAGTGGATTCACGAAGCAAAATTGTGCGTAAAAACAGCATGGCTGAGAGAAAATTCTAAGAGTGGTCCGGACCACTCTTAGGAACAATGTGGCTGCTTAGAAATTGCAGCCGCGGCGGGATACATGGGTGCCGTGGCTGATTTTGAGTTCCCTGATGGCCATGTAAGGCTGCCTGATGATTACTGGTGCATTTTGGTTTATGCCGGTGCTTTCAGTTCATTTGTTGTTTCCCTCGGATGCAATGGACAGAATTGGCAATCAAAATCATCCAATAAGGTTGGCACCGCAGTAATTAAGGAATTCTATTAGGCGTCAGGGGCGTATATTAATACACGCAAAGACAAGTGGTTGGATGAAAACCAAAGTGCGGTGTGAATGGTTGGTGAACTTGAAAGCAGCGCGGTATATGGTCAAAATGTTTTTTTATGTTGTTGTGGTGCGTTCCAAATCTTCCAATAAAATGTACAACTTGTGATGTCTGCCCGATTGGTTGAGATTACCACCAAAGAGTTTGAGAAGAGCACACTACCTTGATGCTATTGGATATCGGAGTGGGAGAAACTTTTATAGTTAGCCATTCATAAAGCCTATTCTGTGGTTGCACTTTCATATACTTTGATTGGATATAACTGTCCAATGATCACGATCTGTGAAATCAGCTGTTTATGCACTTTTAGACGATCTGGAAGGGGTGCGTACTTTGTAAATGAAAGCGTATGAGGGGTGTTCGTGTTGATGCATAAAACTGCAAGCAAATGAAGCTTTTCCGCGTTAACTCTTTGAAAACTGAAGTTGGATGCGTTAGTATGGCAAGCAGTCAGGATAAAACTACCTTAGTAATTTTAAATGACAGCGGAAATGTGCAAAGCCTCACAATTCTCGAGCAAACTTTGGCTGAACTCGTCCCTTTGGCAATAAAAAAAATCTTTTACCTTGGCGTTAGAATGTCTGTAAAATGTGGTGCCAGACACTGACACATGTTTTGTGCGAATCAGAGACCACTTGTCCTGGAAGCCATTTTGTGACGACGGTGAAACAGCCGAAACTCTCCATGCGTGCTCCCATTGAAGCAGACGACAAACGGGAGCAGACGACAGCTAAGTCGTGAGGCGCAGCTTGTGATTGGTTGACAAGTGGTAGTCTCAACAACAGGCCACTTTATGACGTTACAGAACACTTGTTTCATCAGGCATTCCTGTCCTGTTCGTCATATCTTTCCCCTCTCACATAAAAGCATATTTTGTCTTGGTCGGAAAATCGCGCAAGTGCTTTTTCCAAGTTATTTTAGCGCCTACCCCTGCTGCGCAGTTTCTAAGAACAACATGGCGACCTAAACAAGTGCGGGGGGTCATTCCCGCGGGTGCCAGTCGCTGTACTGTGGATTCCGTTGGCCTTCCGGATTGTGCAGGCCGTGCGAAAACCGACGGCAGTGTCTTTCGGTGAACGGTGAAACGTGAAATGTGTGCCTCAACGTGTTTGTGGTGAGGAAGAAGGCGCCAGCGCTTCGTCGTAGCCGACTTCTTTACGGGGCCTTCCAAGATGCTTCAAAGTGTGTTTCAATATGGCTGACAGCTCGTTCGCATCGCCTTCCGGAGTAATTTGTTCATCTGGCATCGAATTCTTCGGTCACGTAACTTGAGTTATTCTGAAGAGTTGCTGTAACTCATAAGCGAGGCTGTTTATTGCTTTCCGGTTTCAGCAATGCGCTTCTATTGTCGCTGTATTGTGAACTCCGTTGCTTATCGCTGTGTTGGGAATTCCTATGTGTCTTCGGAGCGTCCAAGTTGTGTGAAAACCGACGGCAGTGTCTCTTGGTGAGCGGTGGAGCGTGAAACGCCTGCTTTGGCCTGTTTGTGGAGAGGAAATAGGTGCCAGTGCATCGTCGTAGCCGACTTCTTTACGGAGCTTTCAAGGTGTGTTTGAAGACCGCTGGGCGCACGTACACATCGCCTTCCGGAGTACTTTGTTCAGGTGCAGTGTGATATTTGGCATCGGAATCGCTTGGGCAAGTTCCTTGACTGATCATGAAAAATGGCTGTAACTCCTAAACTACGCTGTTTATTTGATTCCGGCTTCAGCATTGCGCTCCTTTTATTAATTTTTTTTACTCGTACTCGAAGAAAGCGTTTTTTTCGATAGAGCAGCGAAGCTCAGTGGAACGCTTGTTCTGTACTAACACATCCGAGGCCTGTGCGGAGGCTGTGTGACAGCAGGTCAATAGCTCAACGGTGTTTACGGCTGCGTGTCTTCAGACTAGCGATTGCAGATTTATATTGCTACAAAGTTGCCGAGATGCTTTATGCGAACTACAAGGATTCGACGTAGCTTTTTGTGTCAACTCTTTGCTTCCTGGTTGCTATGGTAATCCCAGCATCGCGATGAGCGGAACCGGATGTCACAAACCTATGCGTTCTGCTATAAATATGGGTGCATCGGCAGCTATTACCCTTGACCTAAGCTATCCGAACTATGGAGTACGTCCTGGCAGCCAACGCTGGTCAGCGGCAACCTTCCCTCCGGAGAGAGCGCACCTTCCACCGGCGCCTAGCCTTGGACGAGGTTCCAGACCAGCACCTCCGTTACTACAGGTTCCCGAGGGAACATATTCGGGCCCTTTGTACGACACTAGAGCCTCGACTGCAGCGGCCTACGGCGCGGTCTCGCGCCTTACCGGTGGATGTGCAAGTGCTGCTCGCTTTGCGCTTTTACGCAAGTGGCAGTTTTCAGTCTATGGTAGGGGACACGGTTGGCGTGAGCCAATCGAGTGCGTCGCGCATTGTGGCACAAGTAACTGACGCCCTGTGCTCGCTGGCTGCGGAGCACATACGCTTCCCGACGACAATAAGGGCTGCTAATGCTACGGCCATCGGTGAGTTGAACTTTGTCAACTAATGTTGTTGCATGACGTGTAGTGTCATAACGACTACAGTGTTTTGTTAGTGTGGCAGATTTAATGTTAACCAGTGCAAATATCTTGAATGCTTCTACTAGGCTACCACGCATCTTGGTACCAGTAATAATTTGCAGAATATTCTGCTACACGAGGGAGAAGTTTCTACAGCTTACATTGTTGAGCAATTTTTTGTTGTTTGCCGTAAGCTTGGTTTTCCCAGTTTAATTGGAACCTTTCTGTTCACTAAGAAGGTCACAGTCTTCGGGAAAGTATTTTATGTAGTTAAAGTTCCTGGACTCACGAAGCTGTTTTTACAAATTATTTTGATTTCAGGTCACTAGTTGCATGCAACGTTATCTCGGTGGCAGCACCAATATGTCACCAGAATGCATGGTCATGCAGCAAAATTTTTATGTCTTTATCACACACTGCCTTGCTCGCCATCTCGAGAACCTAATCATTTGTGAGATGTCTCAGCTCACTTCTTTACGAAACATACCGACATGCAGAGCTTGTGGGGTATTTCACAGTGTTTCAAGGTGCTCAAATGTATAGGTGGCCTTGACGAAATGATGTCATTACCTTACTGGCTAATATGTCTTAGCAGCACTGTCAATTGCTGTTCATTCATGTTTATTTTAGCCTTTTCGCAGATAGCTGGGTTTCCCAAGGTCCTTGGATGCATTAATGGCGCTCATGTGCAAATCAAGCCTCCTAAGGGCCAGGAACACTTGTACAGGAACCGAAAAGGCCTGTACACAATCAATGTACAAGCGATCTGCGATGCTGAGGGTGTCATTACCCAGCTGACATCGAAATGGCCCGGCAGCACCCACGACAGCTTCATCTGGGCCGACTGTGACCTTCGAAGGTGCTTTCAGAGACGGGAATTGCCCCACGGCTGGTTACTAGGTAATTTCTTTGGAAAGATATACTTGCGAAAAAACAGGAAAGCATTTCCTGTGCTTGCCTCCTGGACTTCTTTTAAAATGTTTTAATAGTAACTGTTTGCAGTGTTCTCACACAAGGGTGTTAATTGTACTCTCGTTATCATGTATACAAGACAAGGACAAATGTTTATGCAGTGATTGCTCCCGTTTAATTTAATATGAACAGGAATGGCAAACGTTAGTATTTGAAACTTTACGGTTCCTGTTGTCCTTCGCTGTGCTTGCAAGCCTGTCTCTCTCTCTCTCTCTCTCTCTCTCTCTCTCTCTCTCTCTCTCTCTCTATATATATATATATATATATAGTATACAAGTACGATATGTATACAAATAGAAAAGTAGATGCGCTTTCATATAACAACTGTATATTCAGCCGGCATTTAGACGTGTCGAAACGTTGGCTGAATAAACAGCTATGTGAAAGCACATCTACTTTCATACTTGTAACCTTGCGGCAATCGAAGTTATTCTTCTGCATATATATATATATATATATATATATATATATATATATATATATATATATATATATATATATATATATATATATATATATATATATATATATATATATATATATGTATGTATGTATGTGTGTGTGTGTGTGTGGGTGGGTGTGTTTGTTTGTGGGGGTGTGCACATACATATGTACAATTTGCTGTTTGCCACTGCTTTGAAGTCAGTTGCAATTCAAACCTGATGCCATTAAAATGAAGTAATAGTGCAATTTGCCTGTGTTCCATAATTCTGCGAACTATTTCCTTTGGCATTTTTGCAGCGTACATGTTTTCAGGCTATATGTGATATCTTTAGGTTTTTGTTCATTTCGGCCCTGTGACATGAGTACACCCTTGCTCCTCTGTTAAGGTGACTCTGGGTATGCTTTAGAGCCATGGCTGCTCACCCCTATAAGGTCTCCGGTTGGCCCTGCCGAGGAGCAGTACAACTCGGCCCACACTCGAACGAGGCAAGTCATTGAGAGGACCTTCGGGGTTCTAAAGGGACGCTTCAGATGCCTGCACCAGTCCGGGGGTGCTCTACAGTACAGTCCGCTGATGTGCACCAAAATAGTGGTGGCATGCACCATGCTGCACAACATGTGTGTCCGACATGGCATTGACTTCAGCTTTACTGATGGTAAGTGATTGCTGTGGCTGTAGTAGCTTTATTAACATGTTTTGCAGAACAGCTGCTTGGGTAGAAGAAATATTGAGACAACAGCTGCTCTAGCAATTGCCAAGTGCCGTGCTGTTCGAGAAAGTGGTCTTGCTCAAGCTTCAAAGATGTGCAGAAGTAGATATTTCATTCCTTATAATGAAAAGTTCACTGTCAGTGTGGCCAGCTCCTACTTCACAGCTTGGTTCTTTCAGAAAACATCGAGCTTGCTCTAACTACCGGACATGGTTTGCCAGTTCCTCTGTGTAAATGTTTTGAAGTTTCTACATACCTGAACTCTAAAAACAAATGCTGCGAGTATTACTACCATTAGATAATAGTGAAGGTTTGGAGAAGAATGGTTGTACTGCACATGCATAGTAAATTCAAACGAGAGTGTGGCTGCTAAAACGCGTAGCACAGGAACAGCGGTTCCATGTATCATTGCTTTTTTATACAAGTTTCTTTAGGCCTTGTCAGTACGTCAGTGTTGCTCCAAGGAGGAGGGTACTTCACAAAATTTTCCTGTCCTGGTAGTCGCACTGCATTGAGAGCCACATAGTGGAAGACCGTGTACAGTGTGATGTTGATGCATCCTAAATGAGTGCTGGATGGTAGATTTATCCTGAGCGATGCACTATTGTATATCACATGTTGATATATCTGTCTTGAGATCTTAAACCCTAAATATGATTATGATTAGATTATTATTATTTTATATCAGATTTATAAAAAGGCAAAATTACCAGATGTGACAGTTCCCTAATTTCACGGAAACATGTTCCTATGAGCAGATTATTTTTCATATACTGTTTCCTGTATAAAGCATTGTGATTTTTCACCAAACTCAGGCACACCACTGTGAGCTCCACAATTTCTTAGCTTTGCTAAAAGTATGCAGTTTGAAAGCTTTTGTAGGGGGAAATCTTTGTAATGTTTATTAGGCTAAGCAAAATGGTGTCGGTGTGCTTAATCCATGCTGACAATTACTGTCATAACTTAGTCTGTGAAGGTTGCATTAGTAAATGCATCATTAAAGTATGCACAGAAAACATGCTCGTTTTTTTCGGCACAAAGCTTCTGGAGCACCTTAAAGCGTGATATTAAGATACTAGTTAGAAGACAATGTGCAAGGTTTTGCTTCACAACAAACATGTGTTGCAGTTATGTATAAAATCTGTTAACAGGAATTGTGTTGAGCCGACCAACAAACTTGTCTTCGTCGAAGTTCTGTTTTATCCTTGAGGAAGAGGAGTGAACTTGTGAATTATTAGGTTCGACAGAAACCTCATTTACAGATTTTTTTCATTGAAAGCTTCTATCATCTCCTTCCTGCCATTTTTTTACATGTTCCGGTAATGAAACAGACGCTTGAAAGTGTTCAGCCATCCATACCTGTACAAATTTTGTAGCTAGCAGTCTTTTGCAAACAGTTGTATGGTCTTTTGCAAAGCACTCCTTATACCAATCTGGTCTGTGAGCAATACGCAAGTAAAATTTTGTACACGAGTTATAAGGTTCACATGAGTGCACTAGTGTGGGTAACAAGAGAAAAACTTCCGCTTGGCTGTGTGTATTTTATTCAATGGTCAGGTCTGAAACACTGGTTGGCTGCAAGCTGAACATTCATGCAGCATTCTCCTTTAGCAAATGTTATTTCATGTATCATTACTTGCGATTATAATGCTTATAGATCCTTGCTGCCTTGCTTTGCAAATGACAAAAAACAATTCATGCTGTGGTGTCTAAAATGATTTCCTTTTTTAAGTATGGGGCGAGCAAGACATGAAACATTTATTTTCTGCACTGCTATCATTTTCAAAACATTCATACTTGGAGCAGTAAATTGTCACTGGAAATTCAGGTGCAAATGTGGACACCGTAATAGTATAGGTTCTATGTAAAAAGGCGTGTCTACAATAGAGCAACTCCACACTTATTTAGATCGGCTGATTGTGCACACTGCAACGACACAAACAGTCCGCCTATGGTCTCACGGAGGCTCCGTTCAGGCCTTGTTATGCCCACAGCCTTTAGTTGGCCAATTCTCAATTGGAGTCACACTGGGGGGCACACGCAGTGACACCTACTAAATTTGCACAAAAAATTTGCGACTGCTTCTCATTTCCAGCCATCCTCCGGGCATTGCCATTGTCCCTTTTGGGGTGAGGGGCCGGGGGGTCGGGACAGACAAAGACAAAGCGAAGGAATGACTTTTGTGGAGTGCGCAGGATGACCATTAAAGGAGCCCTCCAACACTATTCAACCCCTTATGTTTTATACATGTGTTGTGTACACTGAAGTACACACTAATGCAGCAAGTTATTTGACTTAGAAAATTCAAAATACAAAAACCAGAGTGTAGACCCCTCAACTCGATTTTCACAGGGTCACTTGACCGCATTTCATTTACCCGTGTCTTCGGAAGGCTACCCCAACTAAATAAGCTGGAAGCGCCTACTCAGGGGAACTTCGCACCCCACTGTTGCTTGTTTCTTTTTTCTTTTTCAAAGTAATGTTGACCTTATTGCTACCATAATTGATGTCTTGCCTCACGCATAGCTTGCCAGAGCGTGAGTGAGAGCTTCTGTGTCGAACCGAGGCGTTTACTGCTGTTTTTTACGATATCCCAAGTCACTTTCTCCTATTCTAAGAAAGGCACTTGTGGAACCAGGACAGTGAAGTACTGTAGAGCCTTCGCGTGCTGTTAGATTAGCCGCCCAACAAACAATGGTGCACTGCACTTCTTCTACAGTGCATGTGCAGAAACAGATAGCCCGTATACTCAAGAAAGCAAGAAGAGGGAAGAAAGAAAAAGAGGTGCTTCGTATGGACATCTGACCCGCACAACCTTAAAATCCAGTGCCGAAATGGCAGCCAGCATCTCTGTCATGCTTTGTAGTTACCGTGATCTTTTTTATTGTGGTTGCGTCTGTTCAGGGTTTGATGATTGATTGATTGATATGTGGGGTTTAACGTCCCAAAACCACCATATGATTATGAGAGACGCCGTAGTGGAGGGCTCCGGAAATTTCGACCACCTGGGGTTCTTTAACGTGCACCCAAATCTGAGCACACGGGCCTACAACATTTCCGCCTCCATCGGAAATGCAGCCGCCGCAGCCGGGATTCGAACCCGCGACCTGCGGGTCAGCAGCCGAGTACAGGGTTTGATGAAAAAGCACAGAGAAGAAAAATGATACAGATTAGTAACCTCAGTTTGTTCTTAAATCACGATCGCTTCTAGCGTCACATTTATACAATCATATGGCAGCAACCTTCTAGTGTCATTTCCACCCGCAAAGTTCAGGCGAGCGCCGCTACGTGGCAGTAAGGTCGGCAGCGATGTGTAGTTTGTTGCGTAATTAAAGTACTAAATCAAATAATATTGGCACTTAGACCTATGTAAAAATTATTTCCACCTATCGGTCTCTGCAAACCACAAATAAAAATAGCTTGTTCAATAGTGTTGGAGAACACCTTTAAGTAGTGTGTGAGGCCTTCTACCTCTGCCTAAGATCTCTATCTTAGTTGTTAGATCGACCAACACAGGCAAGTTTTTGCTCGACAATCGATCTTCTAACAATCTGTGGGCGACAAGTCTGCTAATACGCTTTGCTGGTGTTTTCGCTCTGCCATCATGTTACACGACGACAACGGGCTGTCTTTCGAAGCGTTGTTGTTTTCGGCTCAGTGTGACCAGATTGTCAGGTGCCATTGTCGGTGGGTAGCTCAGCCGATCGTCTGCGGTGGGGTCGTGTCAGCGTTGGGTCGCTGTAGCGCAAACACGCCCTAAGCAGACCAGTGAGTGCAAGCACATGTGTAAATATAACCATAAATACAGACAACAACGAACATCATGGTCTGCCTCAGCTTGTGCATAGAGATTCCATAGTGTGGGCAGTTGCACTGCAAAATATTTAACATCTCTAACTTCTTGTTACATTTCCTTGAATCATTCTCACCTCACAAGGATTGAGCCAAGCGGTAGTTCGGAAACTTTTTCAGGACATTGTTGTGGAAAGCTTCACCTCCTACTTCACTAAAGTGAGCTTTTATCATAGCACGATGTATTGTTAGGTTGAAGCAAGATATGCACTTGCCAATTTAGCTATAAAGTTGCACTTTTTGTTTGCTTAGTGTTGTGCACAAGGGAAATGATTGGAAGCATCGCATATCATTGACCCTGCCACACTACTCAGGACAACACTGTAGTTCTGTGCAAAAAAGTTGTGGGTATAATGAATGCTCCTTTTTGTGCACTCAGAATTTCTCTAGCTGTCAGTATCTTTGAATTGGCACTCGAATGCCATGGTGTGCTCAAGTGTACATGAAAAAGCTTTCTCAGCTACTAGTAGCAAGTAGGTGATCTAACATTGAGTAACTTCAGAGCATCTGTGCAGCTGGTGTGAGAAATGAGGCTCTGATGATAGCTGGTGCATTCACACCTATATTTGGAAAACTTTCCCATTGTTCATGAAGCAGGATTTTATTACTTCGCATGTGTGGTCTGTCTACTTTCTCTCGCCATAAATGCTACCAAAAGCATGCCTCTGAACTAATGATTTAGCTGAGCTGCATAAATGACTAATTGGAATTAAAAAAATTTTCTTCTGTACTAGCAACTTGCTTTTAGCACCGAATCGTTGTACACTCTCAATGAGATTGCTGTTTTCCCGCATGAAGAGTTATCACCTCACTTTCACAGATTCGTTTTGTCATTTTTAGATTTGTTGAATGTGTTTTTTTATGGAAATAAGTTCCTTTTTTCATGCTCCTTCTTGAGACAGGCAGGCAGGCAGGCAGAGAGAGGTAGATAGATAGATAGATAGATAGATAGATAAATAGATAGATAGATAGATAGATAGATAGATAGATAGATAGATAGATTGATCGATGGATAGATAGATAGATAGATAGATAGATAAATAGATAGATAGATAGATAGATAGATAGATAGATAGATAGATAGATAGATAGATAGATAGATAGATAGATAGATAGATAGATAGATAGATAGATGATGTGTGTTTATGTTTTCTTCTTAGATGACCCTTTCTTGGACGAGGAAGGGGATGACCCTGAACTACCGTGTCTGCAAGAAGACACAGCAGCTGGGATTGTTGTGCGACGCCAGGATATTCAGGCCATCCATTCATTGGCTGAGCAGATGGTATGGCAGCTGAAGTTTTCTTCACTGTACAATATGTATACAAAAAACTTTATTTCGTCATGTTGTCTTCATTTTCCAAGTAGCAGTTAATGCCGTAACGTAGGATAGAAAAGGTAACGTGGTCACAATAGTTTGCTATGCCGAAATATGAACTACTGCTTTGCCAGGCACTTGTTCCGCGCTTGCTGATGCTGACTTCTGTCTCGTCACCTTGTCCATGCTGTTTACAGTTTGTAAGGAAAAGAAACCGTGATAGACATTCCTTGCTGCTTCTTTCCTTCTGCGCTGCATTGCTGAATTAAAGGGATAAGCTGTGTTAAACCTCGTCATTCGATTAGTCGTTTATGTAAAGCAGACGTACAATTAGTACCTCCACAATATGGGGTTGTCGCATCCAAAAGGGCTTGAGAGTAATATATTAAGATACTGTTCTTCAATTTGATGTTAGACGAGCTACCAGGTGTAGCTACATTAGGCACAAAAAATTTGGTGGCCTAATTGCCTCCTTCTTGGCTACTATTCGCCCCTAGATTAGTTTAAGAGTGGTGATGCAGGCACTGGTATTTCATTCAATGGTTCCAAAACATGGCAGTTGAAGAGTACAGTGAGCTCCAAATGTTCAATTTTGATCGTTCATTAGAGTAATTAACTTTATCCAGAAGAATGGTGCAGTGGCCTAATGAAATCTAAAGGTCAGTGTCAGATCGTAGCAAAAAATGAAGACTACAGGTTGATAATGCTACCTAAGCACTCCTGTATTTTTCTCTCTCTCTCTCTCTCTAACACACACACGCACGCACATGGGCACAAACACACACACACACACACACACACACACACACACACACACACAGGGGTAAATGCTTTGAATGCCTTTTTGGCACTTGTTGAGAACTGTTTGTCGCATTAGGGCTGATCTCGCATATTACCCTTTGCTGAATGTGAATTTAAAGGATAATTGCAAGCTAACACAATTTCGAAACAATCTGCATTCACTGCTCTTGACATTCATCGAGATTAGATATCAAATACTCAACACTTCGGGTGACAACTGAAAGACTAGTGTTCATAAGGCAAAGACTACATAACACCAGCACTCACTAACAGTTTTACGTGTGTACTTGTGGTGCTGCTTTTGCCTTCTGCCTACTGGTTGTTAGTGCTCGCCTTAAAAATTTGTACCAACTTTTACCCTCCAATCAATCCTTCTAGGATATCTCATGAACTGCTTGTATCATTGCTTAGTCCTTGGTATGGACATCAGCTGTAGGTTCATAACTATTAAAAAAATTCTTTGCGAAAGGGGCCTCGTTTTATGTTTCACTGCAGTAAATGAAAGTTTGAGCACCAATTTTATGATAGCAACCTTTAGTCTCTTGAAGGAAAGTAAGAAAGTCACGCAAGACGAGTGAAGAGAAATATACAGCTTAGAACTACGTTGTTATGCATAACGCGGTTGCCAAACTCAAAAATTTGGGCTTCAGTCTCGGTATTGACAATCTCGAATTGGCTATGCAGCACAAATTTACATTTTGGCGAAAGACTGCTGTATTTAGTGATTTAAATGTAAAAAGTAGAAGTGGTTTCCATAGTTTTAGGTGGCAAGTCTGGGCTAGTTTTACTGCCCTAGTCTGCAATAGTGTTTTTTTTCAATTTTTTTAGTTAGTTTGCCTGTTCTACATAGCGTGTTTGCTGCTTATGCTACATATCTATAACATAAATCGATTTGGACTTGGACAATACTTTGCAAAAATAAAGAATATGTTAGGACATTATTTCTTAAACCTGTTCATGTGGTCATGGAGAACAGTCGTTAGTTCAAAGTACACTGAGAAAACCTGACAAATAAAGGTAGTTTGTTGCTTGTATTACAGTTAATTAAAGCATTTTATTGCAAGATAAGAATTTGCTTTTCCTGTGTACTCTTAATTTTCAGGAATCAAGTTTATGATCTTGGTGAGAAATTGAAGGAAGGTGCTTGCATCTGCTCAGATTATGCCTGTTTACCAACGAGACCGTGCTGATAAATGCTTCAGACTTGTATTCGTTAAAAGAGTTCCTTAGTGTATTACAGTGCAGAGGTGTAATAGAGAAACAACACAGGGCTGGATGGTACGTTCACATTACAATTTCACATGACAACACAAAATATCTGCCGATGCAGAGCTGGTTTCGGTAATGTTACCTCATTTTTGGTCAGCTTATGAAAGACAGCCAAAACGTTCACTTTAAAAAATTTTAATTGTTTTCACTGTAATTTGGCACTACTCTGTTTCCTTCAAAACGAATTCTGTGCATGTGCAGTTTAACCTGCAAATTTCTTTCCAAAGACCTTGCAGTGCGTTCCAAAGCCCTTGCAGTGCGCTTTTGAGCTCTGAGAATTTTTTTTTTTGATTTTCGAGTATGCGCTCGAAGAGTTCTTGTTCTTCTGAAAATAGAAGAGAAAAAGTTTATCACATAATTGTATCACTTGTGCACTTTCATACATGCAACTGCCCTAATTACTACTTGTACGTTTTCCACGTTCCAGTAATGGTACTACCTCCAGCACTTCATCGCCATGTGCTTTCTGGCTCCAGCAAAATTGACAGATAAATATGTGGGATTTTACGTATAAAAACAACGATGTGATCACCTGAGACACCCTAATGGAGGATCATCTCATAATTTTCAACGTGCACGGACATCGCACATTACACAGATCTTTACCATTTCTCCTCCATTGAAATGAGACAGCCGCGGCTGGGATCGCACCCGCGACCTTTGGATAAGCAGCCACCTACTCTAGCCACTGATTTTCCAAGGGGGGCAAAATTTACAGATTAACACGACTATTAGTGATCAGGCCGGGTTGTTCAGTGTACTACTAAGATTGATATGTGCATTGAAATAGCTGGAGGACCTATATTTGTATGCTCACTACTGGTGTATATGCACTTCAAGCTTTGTGCAGTACGCCCTGCTGTAGATCCTTTTTTTTAATATGGAAGTGTGTATTGTTAATTGCATTTTGAAAGCAATGTTCTCGAGTAGCCGTGCATTTAGCGCTTCAGAGTAGTTGTCATTGTCAGCAGTCAAAACTTTAACGCTCGGTGCTACGACCCAGTAACTGCTAAGCCAGCAGAGTGTCATTTTTTCGTTTTTTACTTGGTTGCCAAGGAAAACATAAGCACAGCAATAATGATCTTGTGTAAACTCTGGACTGGGTACAAGAGTGAAATAAGAATTTGTCTCCACCTTGTGTGCACACTTCTATGCTTTATATCCTATGTAATGATATGCCACTGCCTGCCAGTCTTCTCTTAAAATGGACCTCGATGTACAAACTATGTATTTTCATGTACTGTTCACCCCACTAAACCTCGTTACTATGTAAATAGCTTCTCACTTGTGTAGCTGCGTGGTTGCTGTCGCCGCCGTGGAGTGCTGCTGCTGCGTTGCTGTGGCTCACCTACATTTTAAAATGACATAACATGTTTTGTACCTAATGTTGCACAAAGTTCATATGCCATTTGACAGTCACTAAATGCATGGTTGATGCCTTTAGGAGTACCAAATATGGTTCAAATGGCATCTGCCAAGTGAAATCTACGTTGTGAAACGTGAACATTCCTTATTTCTTTTTAACACAATGATCATGCATAACAGACGGTGTTGTGCCCTAACAATGATGCATGACAGTCTTTGTTGCCCTCCACATAACGGATTTTCCAAGAAAGTGTTTGCGGATGTATTATTGCAGAGGGTATGGTTTTTTTCCTCTCAAGGTAATGCAATTTATTGCTTGGAAGCATTACACATTTATGTTTAAGGTTATCGGCACTTTTCTATATCAACAGGTCATCAAAGTACTATGCCTGAACTAGTGATAAACTGATTTTTTAAGTTATTACAGCACAAATAAAGAATGCAGCGAACAGTACGGTTGTCAATGTTCTTCGTTCACTGAACCTCCATCTGGAGCTGCCCCACTTTAGAGTTTGCCAGGCCAACGTGCACAAGCTTAGAATGCGTGCTGCATTCATTCCAAGTATCCCAGAGTATTTGCAAATACCGCTGATGCGCTTCTGTGTCTTTTCATTAGGTGAACTGCTGCTTTCACCTTCTTTCAGTCACTCTAAAATTTACAAACTTGTCTAATTTTTTCTCCGATTTGCATTTCTGATAGATATGTGGGGTTTAATGTCCCAAAACAACGGTATGATTATGAGAAACACCGTAGTGGAGGGCTCCAGAAATTTTGACCTTCTGGGGTTCTCTAACGTGCGCCCAATCTTCACACTCGGGCCTACAGCATTTTCACTTCTATCGAAAATGTAGCTGCCGCAGCCGGGATTCGATCATGAGACTTGCAGGTCAGCAGATGAGTACCTTAGCCACTAGACCACCGCAGCAATGCCAGATTTGCATTCCTGCACATGTTAAATTTCTTCAGTATCTTTCTTGGTGCCCAAAAGTTACTTTAACTGTATGCATAAATTATGTACATGATGACTGGATGATTCGTTTTATTCTTTGAAGTTCCAAACAAAAGTGTGCAAACTGTAAAATCAAAAGATTTGTGCTAGATTATCTGCTCGTACAATAGACAGACAGTCCACTGTTAAAGGGAACGCTTGCGTGCTCCATGTGTCTGGGTTTCACATTCTTGCATGAGCATCGGGTTTAGATTTGCATGGTATTATCAGTGATTGCGATTTTTAACTACTTTTGACAGCCTAGTGCTATGTATGAGCATTGTTTTTTGCTTTTAAAAGGCCGGAAATATGAACTGGGATCTTTGTTGCGTTCTTTTACAAACAGACCGTAGTGTACATCGCTTTCGCGGAATAGTGAGGTATGGGCACTTCATGCAGATGGCTTGATTGCAACAAGCATGTACACGTCTCAAGGATAGAAAAACAATTCTCCAAACTATTGCTCAAGACTGCATGCACCTGTACATATGTTTTCTACTACTCCTTAATATTGTATGTGTAAACAGATACGGGCAGGGTGACATATGTTGCAAATCTGAATAAGCAACTTTTCTAGGAAGTTTTGGTTGCTCTACTTTGTGTGTTTTAAAAAGGAAATAAAAATACATGGTTATGTGTGCTTACCTGTTGCACTGTCCCCGTCTTCCTGGCTCAACCTGTCCAGATGCAGAAAAAAACTTGATATACAGAGTACCACATTTTGAATTATTTGAGGCTTACCCGGCACTAGACGGAACATTTCTGATGGCATCGCAGGTGCCTGCAGTATAAAATGCAATAGAGTCAACAATCAGTGAAGAACGAGTTGTTTAAATCTCATATATTTAATTTTCTGTAGGCTGCTGCTTGTGGGGAGGGGGGACATCATTTGTAGTCTTAGTTTTCAGCAATGACAAACAATGTAACGTAAGTTCAATACATAGGTAATCTTGCAGGACGGAATGTTCGGAAAAGTGTATTTTCCTTTGTGCGGACAGCTGCAATGAGGGTGGATGAAAAAATCTTCTTGAAAGTTGTGCACCTCTCCCTGCTACATATGCGGTATTTTTAATATGTAAAAATATTTACCTAGGTTAAATATATTCATTGGCCATTTTGATTATTTTAGTTAGTATTACTTTTATTGTGCACCACTATTTTTGTAAAGCTGTTTTCCTTGATGCAACATTACTGCTTGAAAGACTGAAAGAGACAATGATGTGCATAAATTCACCAGACTATCAGCAATTTCTACTTTACATAAACCTTCAGCTGCAACACTGCAACCTGCACCTGTGTGCCAGCCGCAAGATAAGCTGCTGCCCTGACAAGTCATTGTGAAAGGTGGCCTGCAGTGGCGTTGTATGATATTTCATTGGTGCAACTCTTCACTTAGTCTTTCCCTTTATTTAAACCAAAAGTAAAGCATGCTGAACAGTGCAACTCGTCGAGAAGCATCAAACATTCATATATGCACACATCATCAATCGTAAGTGGTCTACCTCTTACTGTTGAACTTGATGAAAAAAATGGTTCAGTGCATACAGGCATTTTTTCGATCTTGCAGAGTAATTGAGTATGAATTTTCGCAATGTTTTATAGATATTGCATAAAATGTGGACCCTCACTTCTTACCTGCTTAAAGTTATTCAACCATGCCAAATAAATAATAATGTCGCTGTGGTTGACAAACATGCAGGACATCTCTTTATTGTTAAGGCTTATCATTGCTTTTGCTATAGTTGTGTCTCACTTTGTTAGTACTATAATTTCTGTGCATTTATTTATGCCTTCTATCACGTGAATGACTAAGTGAAAGATCAAAGAGAAGTATGCTTGCAATACACTGCCGCTTTATTGTGTGTTTTTTGCTCAGAATATTCAGTTATTAGGTGCCAACACACAATTACCTACAGTGCTCATACAAATATTTTCACTAGCAAAACCAGCAAAGGTTGGCAAATGGACCACTAACCTTCTTCGAGTTCTTCATATGCCATGTTGCTGGGTCTGAAAAATTGGGACATCATTTTTATAATACTTGGTATTTCAAACAGTCTTGTAACAGATATTCTCACCCTGGTATTGACAGCTCTACAATGAAGGGATTGTCTCGCGGTTCATCTAACAAGAGAACATAAGTACATCATTGGATTAGGGTCAACTCATGCACAAGCACATTATGCAAAATTAGTTTTCATGCGAGAGCCTTTGTGTGCAACAAGCGTTGCACACAAAGGCTTCATAACTGTATAGTTTCGCTAAACAAGGTCTGTTTCCCCTGTACTCGTCATCAGTTTGTGTCCAGGGTGTCTTCACCTAGTGTACTGCATTACAATGCTTTCAGGCACCCCACGCAGTCGACTTGCTTCACCTTGCCAGAGGTATATGTGCTCTGTTGTTGTTTTTTCGAAACACAAAAATAAAAGTTTAAGTGCTTCTGAACGTGTAACATATGCAAGATAGCTTCTTCCAAGGGTCAAGCCATATGAAACTGTGAGAATAATGTCCATCAGCCTTTCATACCAACAAGAACGAAATGAAATTTTATGTTCTCTCTGGCTACTTCTGTGAATAAGGAATTTTATTGCTTGGTTGCTGACGCAAGAGTCGCGGCTTTGATCCAGTCCTCGACGGTCGTATAAAGGTGGAAGCTTATTGATATCTGTGTAATGTGTGGCGTCCACTAACACTAAAATATCGCGGGTGATAGAAATTTACCTGTCTTTCTGCTGCAGCGTGGCTCATAATGATGCGGTGGTTTGCGGTTGTGTTCATAAGATCATCATAAACCCAATGTCAATGATTGATATCCGTTTTTACCCTTGTTGAGTTCTTGTCAGTGATCGTCTGCATTGCTATAAAATCGTTCTCTCGTCGCTTTTTTTCCCATGTTTTTGTTGGAGTGCACCTTTAGTACTCTTCATTGTGCATATAGGTTCCGTGTCGTCTGAAGGGGGAGAGGAGGGCTTGAAAATGGTCATATTCCCCCCTCATGTTGCGCCAGTACTTATAGCACACCCTAGCAGCATCACTGCTATGTCACCTCCCTCCCCGCTCCACTGCGATGCAACTAGTGTTTCCATCCTGGAAGGCAAAATCCATGCGGCGCCCATGATTGGCTTTCTTTTACGAATACACCCGCTGTTGCACCTAGTTTCAGTGTTCTTTTCACTATTTGTTTGTATGCAATTTATATACTGCTCTTTTGCATGTGTAATTTCTTTGCAAAATTTTCTTGTATAATAGTTATTTGAATTCTTGCTGCAACCGCCTAAAAGTTCGGGCACATTAGAACTTTCTTGACTTGTTTTTAAACATTTTTCAACACGAGCTGCTGCGAGAAGGTTACGAGTATAAAAGAACCATTATTATTTCAATTTTTAGCTATAACGACATACGTTCATCTCCGCATTACTGAGACCGCCGTGCAAGCGCGCTGTCTAGCTGTATATACAGGCACACCTGTTGGCATTCATACCTGCACTCGGGGCACCTATATCCATGCTGCCAGAGATTCCGGAAATCGCTTCCGGGTCCAGCGCGTTCGCCACGAGAGTCTCAAATTCGTTCAGAGGTGGCACGTCTTCTGGACCGCCACCAGTTTTCGCCTGGCTGCAGCGAACTGCAGCAGCTGTTGGAGAGCAGATAATGAATGGTGTACCTGTATCTGCAGCAGTTTTCTGTGGCATACTTGTAAGATTATAAACTGGGGGACGCAATTCGCCCGGATACGCGCCAAGAACTACTGCACGATTTAGTAAACAAAGATATTACAAATATATTGCGTTAAGTCTCACCATCACCAATGCCTTGAAGTATAGCGAAAGCGTGACACGCGATGTCATTTCTCTTCCACTTAGCATACCGAGCTGAGGTAGGTAGCTCATAAGCATTGATGTCACATTTTTTTTTAAGTGCCTCTCTCCCGGAGCCATGTTGTGGCGCGCAACAAAAGAACACGCGGCCACCTAAAAGTATTTAGGTGCATGGTAAAATCCTCAGGCGATAAAAGTTCATCCCAATATCGTTACTATGGCATTACATGTAATCTTGTTTAGGCGTGAAACTCTTCAAACGGTTATACCGCTCAAGTACATGCTTGCGGTTGTCGTGGACTAAGAACCAGCGACCAAGCACTCGTTTACACGACGTGATATCTGGTGAGCTGCCGCAGTTGATATGCAGTGATTTTATCGATGTTGCCAGAATTTACATCGGTCATTGCGGACTGATTATTTGCGTGTTTACGTGCGCTTACGCTAATACAAGCTTACATACTTACAACCCTAAAAGAGTGCATATGTTACAGCACGTGTGCGAACAATTACGTAAAGGAGCCTTACCGCGTGCCTTGGTGGCGCTCTTGACGTCGCACCATTTCTTTCGAACCTCGGCGGGCGTTCGAACGATACCCGAGACAGCAAATAATGTTGCCGTGATGTCTTCCCAGGCCCTATGTTTGGCCTGGGACCCTCGGGGACCCTCTCCTCGATTTTCAATTGCCCGCTGGTTCGCCTCGTAGCCATCGACGAGAATGGCTAGCTCCTCTTTTGTAAAATTCGGCTGTCGCGCTCGCTTAGGCTGCTTCGCCGACATCTTCACGTTGACCAGGAACTGGGCCCTTATCACAACTGGGCCTCATGCGTGAGCGCACTTGCGATAATCGCTGACCAAGTCATCGTCGATTTACCTCCTTTCTCTTTACAGACGCTTATCACTCGACACCCGGCGAAACTTGATCACAGAATCCAGTCATTAAGGAAAGAAAACGCAGGAGGAACTATTTATTGCATGTAGTACGCTGAAGAAAACACTATCTTGGGTTCTCGTTTCTGCTTGGCGATGAGAGCAGGCTTTGGAAACTGTCACCTACTAGGACAATAAAACGAACATTGCAATAATTGACATACGGTATAAAACAGATTAAATAGTTTTCTTAACTGGGTGGGGTGAAGAAAACGGCTCTTAGGTGCCTGTTTCCTGTGTTGAGCGTCGTTCTTTGTTGGACGTCATTTTAGGCGCCTGTATCACATTCCGCTAGCCACGGGACGTTCTCCGTTTGCAGTGATTGTCCGCGTTATTGTGATACCTTCGCCTCCAAACGAAAAAAAAAGGAGGAGGGGAAGAAGAAAAAACACTAGAGAAAGATTACCTGGCTTCACGGGTGGCTCCAAGAAGGCCCCCACCCCCAGTAAAAAAAATCCTGGCGCCGCCCCTGCTTAGCACACGCACCTTGAGTCATGGGACTATCTTCTTTTGCCGATTCATAGTCGATTGCTGGGACGCTTATGCAGCCAGAGCAAAATAAAAATAGGTAAAAATAAAGCAAAATGTGAGAAAAAGTGCAAATGAGGTATACGTTAACGATAAAAACATCATAGATGTTATACAGAAATTGACAATTATCGAAAAAACTGAAATAATTAAGTGAACAGAAAGAAGTTGTAACTTTACGTACGAGCAAGGCGCTCCGAAATTCCTTGCTTCAATAAATTCCCTAATAACACCGGTACTCACATTTTTTAATGAGGGGTGCTCTAATCGTCACTACCTATACATTTCACAACGAAAGCTGTTACGACATCACAACAAGGGTCACGTGGGGCGCCATAGATGTCCGCCGCCGCCAGTGTCTGCAACCACTCTCGCGCGAAATGAAACAAAAAAAATTATGAATGAAGAACATTAAAAAGGCTGCGGGACTCGAACCAGGGTTTTATACGTTTCAGCCCAGTGTTCTACCACTGAGCCATGCCGCTGCTCACAACGCCATCGAAAACTGATCCTAGGAATGCTTGATGTCTGGAAAGGAATCGCGTTAATGTGCGTAATAAAGCGTTTTAGAACAGCAAAGGAACAATCAGGGGTCGCACAATGGGAATTGCGTCACGAATAGGTTGTCGAATATTCCGACTTATTACTTAAGCTTCAGGCATAATTCTTCATCGTCGTGAGTGACAGCATAAAACATTTTCACAAAATTTTTTTGCAAGTTTGTAGCGGGTACCACGCTTCTCCTCCGAAGAATGACGAAAAATCGCATTGTGAATGCCTCCCTACGACAAAAAATTACAATGATTTATGGCTTTGCGGGTATTCTGCAAGCACACTTGCAGAATTTATATATATATATATATATATATATATATATATATATATATATATGGCCCACGATGAAATAAAAGCGCGTACGTTTGCGCAGGCCCCAAGGGCGTCCTGCTGGAGCGCGGCCGCGCATAAGCACTGTAGCAGACGCCCGGAACTGGAAGCTCACTTGAAGCGAAAAGATATTGGCCATCATCGTATACTCTCGATGCTAGACGCTCGGCAAGCTGCCTTGTTATTATGACGACGAACTTCTTTCTTTCCTTGTCGTTTCATCGGCTATCGTGTGTCCTCCTCACCCTCTTAAGTGCCGAATAAGTTAAATTCGCAACCGCTCTATAGCAATCCCTCCAGATAAGAGAATTTGTTGGCTAAGAAATGCGTAGCCAAGAGAAAGCTTTGTGAATTCGGGCCCTGGTGTGCCTTCGGATGGCTCGGGTCAGTAGGGGAGAGTGGTGTCGATTACAGATGATGGTTCTCGACTATAAAGTAAAAAGAAGGAAGAAAAGCCTATCGTGCCTTGAGGTGGCGTGTTGTAAGCGTCCGTTATGTAGGGAAGTATAAGATCCCAGTTGGTGCGGTCGGAGTCGACATACATAGAAAGTATGTCGCCAAGAGTGCGGTTGAAATGTTCGGTCAAGCCATTTGTTTGTGGGCGATATGCGATACTACAGCGGTGATCACATGGCATTCAGAAAGAAGATCTTGAATAACATCCGCGAGAAAGACGCAACCTCGGTCGCTCAAAAGTTCACGTGGAGCGCCATGATGCAGAACGAAACGTTGCAGGAGGAAACGCGCAACTTCACGTGCCATTGCGGCTTTAGGAGCGGCCGTTTTTGCATATCTCGTGAGATGGTCGATCGCTACAATAATCCAGCTATTCGCAGCTGATGTATATGGCAGAGGAACATAAAAGCCTATTCCTACCCGGTCTAATGGTCCCACTGGGCACGGTAATGGCTGCACTGGTGCAGTAGAACGGCTAGGCTCGTGCTTGCCGCGTTCGCACTTTGTGCAAGATTTAATTTTCGTTTGAACACTACTTCACTTCATACACAACACCGGTCTTGCAGCACACATTTAACAAAAATATTATGCCTTAAAGGCAAGTCATTGTCGCAATAAAAAAGTGTACATGCCGCGCCGATAAAACCGAAAACGTAGCGTGGCATAGGTTTTAAACAAACCAGCGTGTGCACCCTGCGGATCGACATGAAAAGCAGCACATATGCTGGCACAGAGATGCCTGGGTATGACGAGTAGGCATTTGCGGCCGTCAGGGTGGTAGTTGCGGCGATAAAGTATTCCGTCACGAATGGCGAAGTGAGAGGCTTGTCGGTGTAGTGCTCGAGATGGCGGGTGGGCGAGTAATTCAGATAGGTAATTTATAAGAGACGCAATTCACGAATCTTTGCGCTGCTCTGCAGCCATGTCGATGTTTCCTGATAGTGGAAGGAAATTTTCTTAGATGGAGACACTCGCAATATCAGTAAAAACATGTGAATGCGTAAGAGCATCGGCATCAGCGTGCTTCTGGCCTGAGTGATAAATGACACCAATGTCGCACTCTTAGAGCCGTAAAGCCCATCGTGCCAAACGTCTGGAGGAATCTTTGAGGGAGGATAACCCGCTGAGCGCGTGGTGGTCACTAACAACATCGAAAGGGCAGCCGTACAGATAAGGCCGAAATTTTGTAATGGCCCAGATAATCACTAGGCATTTTTGTCAGATGCCGAATAGTTTGCTTCTGTTCCTTTAAGAGTGCGGCTCGCGTACGCAACAGCATATTCTTGGTACCCAGGCTGTCGTTGGGCGAGTGCAGCGCCAAGGCCGACACCGCTACCATCCGTGTGGAATTTCTGTGGGAATGCTTGAATCGAAATGATGCAGTATGGGTGGTGTTTTAAGCACTTCACGGAGCTTCGTAAAGGCACTGTCTCTGGCTGGAGACCACGCAGATAGATTGCTGGTATCCCTGAACTAGGTCTGTCAGAGGTGCCATGATCGAGGCGAAATTTCGGACGAAGCGGCTGAAGTATGAGCAAAGCCCAATGAAACTACGCAGCTCCTTGAGAGACGCGGGCCTCGGGAACTCACGAACAGCACGTAGTTTAGCAGGGTCAGGAAGAACGCCATCCTTCGACACGACGTGTCCAAGAATAGTCAGCTTGCGTGCTCCAAAGTGACACTTCTTCAAGTTTATTTGTAGGCCTGCTGCCGAGAGGCAGCGTAGAACCTGTTCCAAGCGCCAAAGGTGCGTGGAAAAAGTGGGCGAGAATACCACCACTTCATCCAAGTAGCACACACACGTGTTCCGATTGAGGCCTTGTAGGATAGTGTTCATCATGCGCTCAAATGTTACAGGTGCATCGCCTAGGCTGAATGTCATCACGTTAAATTTGTATAAGCCATCTGGTGTAAAAAAGGCAGTTTTTAGCCTATCATTCGGATTCATGGTCCCTTGCCAGTACCCAGAGCGTAGATCAAGACAGGAAAAGAACTCTGCGCCTTTGTAAAGAGTCGAGTGCGTCATCGATTTGAGGCGAAGGATAAACATCATTTCATGTTATTTTGTTTAGACGATGATAATCTCGGCACAGCGTATCTTTCCATCCTTTTGTTTATCTAAAACAACCGGCTGACGCCAAGGACTGTTTTATAGTTGAACGACGCCTCGCTTTAGCACGTCACCTACTTGTTCATCGATGACACGGTGTTCAGTCAGAAAAACACGGTATTCATTGATTGATATGTGGGCTTTAACGTCCCGAAACCACCATATGATTATGAGAGACGCCGTAGTAGAGGGCTCCGGAAATTTCGACCACCTGGGGTTCTTTAACCTCCACCCAAATCTGAGCACACGGGCCTACAATATTCCCGCCTCCATCGGAAATGCAGCCGCCGCAGCCGGAATTCGAACCCGTGACCTGGAGGTCAGCAGACGAGTACCTTAGCCACTAGACCACCGCAGCGGAGTGAAACATGGTGTGGTCGCTGCCGGAGTGGTGGGTGATTACCTGTGTCAATTTGGTGGCATAGAGTAGATGTTCGACCTAATTAAGCGCTGCGACTGTCAAACGATGGCCGAAACTTGTCAAGGAGGCTAAAAGCTGATTGATTGATTTGTGGGGTTTAATGTCCCAAAACCACCATATGATTATGAGAGATGCCGTAGTGGAGGGCTCCGGAAATTTTGACCACCTAGGGTTCTTTAACGTGCACCCAAATCTGAGCACACGGGCCTACAACATTTCCGCCTCCATCGGAAATGCAGCCGCCGCAGCCGGGATACGAACCCGCGACCTGCGGGTCAGCAGCCGAGTACCTTAGCCACTAGACCACCGCGGCGGGGCAAGGAGGCTAAAAGCTCACACCTTTGTTGTGGGTATATGCCTTCAGTCGATGAAACGATTAAAAATGTTGCTAGTAGAAGGGCCATTCTAGGAACTACAGGAGAGGGCACTGACTTCCGATGATTTATCAGG